ACTAAATAATCATGCCATCGCCCAAATTCGCCAAGTCAATTCGAGGAAATCTTTGAAGCTGTCAGCGTGTAGCTCGGGTTGTTATGCCTAAAACTTCAGGGGTTCCATCTTATTGATGTCGAGTAGTACAAGTAATAAAACACGTCTCTGAAAACCCCTTGAAGATAAATGACCTATTGCAAAGCATGTACGTACAGAGCAACCCAGTATTTTAGGAAGTTAGATCAAGATCCTAATGACTTATTACTAAAAGATCAATTCAAATCCTCCAGTAGTACTGACAAACAAACGTAGTTAGCAGATACTCACTTGTCTACCAACCGGAGAATCGCCAGTAGCAGCTTGTCTGACACAACAGACCATTATCTCAATCAGACTCGTCTCCTGATGAGCATCTAATGGCTCCTCGCCACGACCAGGCTCTTCTATTAATAAATCAATCATAGCCTCCCAATCACGCAGCATGGGGCTAAGATCCCATAGACTGTCAACGAGATAGGCGGCGTGCTCATGCAGCTGAAAAGGGAATTAAAAGGAAAGAAGACTTAAGGAAGATATTGACAGGCATATTAAAAGAGAAAGCAAAGCAAGAAATATAACGGCAAAGCAAAACGGTGTAAATATATAGTGGCTTTAGAAGCCAATTATTGAGAGCCGGAATAGCTAGAATGAAAATAAATTGTATTAGAAACAAAAGCTATTATGTGTGGCTTAGATAAAATCACAAGTGTATAAATGAAATCTTTCAAATAGAGGTAAGATGACCTCGTCTTCGCAATCGGCTTAGTTGGACACACTTTGTCCGAAGTCCTCTAATATAGCAGGTAGCATAATTCACGTCGTCAGATCGCGGACTTGACATATTCTCAGACGTTTGGCCGGACTCGTAGTCAGCATCATCAGTGAGTCAGAGACTATTTGTAGCTTAATGCCGAGAATGGCAAAACGAATTGATGATGCCGACTACGATACCAGCGAAACGTCTAAGAATGTACCAAGTCCATGGTCCGACGCTGGGAATTATAATAACTACTATAGCAAAGGACAAAATACGTCGCTCATTCAACACGACTAGGTGGCGAAAACGAGGACAACCCACTCCGATACATCGAAAGAAAACTGAAGCCATACAGAAGGACACATCATATTGGTCTTCATATCTTAGAACATTCTAGTCTGAGGAAGTGATATTAGAGAACCCATCTTATAATAAATCAGCACTTGCCCAATATTTAGTCAGTGACTGCTATATGGAAAGGAAAAATTG